CTTTCTGCAGGCTCCTTCCAATGCTGTCAGGTAGCTGTCCAACTAGCATGGTGCCACTGTGTTTGGTATCTTACGCTCAGCATCCATCTGGAGCTCTGTTACAAAGCCGGTAGGTTGCATGCCAGAGGACATCCTGCTGCTTCCGAGGAAGATTCATTTCCTGCTTCCTTATGTGTGACTCAGTGACATCACGTAGACATCAGCTTCCACCCCGTCCTGAGCTCCACACTCTGAGGGGCAGCTCGGTCGCCATCTAAGCCTGCATGGCTATTGTCGGTGCAAAAGATTCATTCTTTTTCACATCTGTAGCTATAATGCAACATACTCTGGGATCAGTTTCAAACTCTAATGATTAACACATGTTTATTTATTCCAAATGGAGTTAGGGCTATAGTCCCTGTTGCACACATGTTACCGGGTTTGTTTTGTTGTTGTTGTTATTATTTTTCCTCCCTGGGTCGGTTTCTCCCGTGGATCAGAAGCAACCACCAGCAACTGACTCTGGAAATCTTTGTCCTCTATCTTTGAGACACCTTCTACTTTTGCTACTTAGCTATAAATTGCACCCCAAGATCATCTTCTGGGTGCCCTGCAGGAGTCACTGAGGTTCAGATTCTTGCTTTAAGTTCACTCTGGACGTGTGCTCCCACAACAAGACGGCAGCCAACTCATGGCAAATTTACCCTCACAGTCTCTAGGCAATAATAAGCAGCAGAGTCACACAGATGGGGAAAAAGCAATGTTTGATAGAGACTGAAATACAGTAGGTGAACATTTAATGACACAAAAGCAACCATTCACAAAGAGGCTAGGAAATTAAGGACATTGTTTTTGTCAGCTAAAAGATGTCAAATGTAGGATGGTCATTATCAACTACTGCTACTGGTACTTAATTTTGCAAGAGACATGCCAGACCCAAGGTCAAATTTATGGGGAGAGAGAGGAAGCTCAGTAGTCATGTATGGATGTGAGAGTTGGACTATAAAGAAAGTGCTCACTGAAGAATTGATGCTTTTGAACTGTGGTATTGGAAAAGACTCTTGAGAGTCTCTTGGACAGCAAAGAGATCCAACCAGTCCATCCTAAAGGAAATCAGTTCTAAATATTCATTGGAAGGACTGATGCTGAAGCTGAAACTCCAATACTTTGGCCATCTGATGTGAAGAACTGACTCATTTGAAATGACCCTGATGCTGGGAAAGATTGAAGGTGGGAGGAGAAGGGGACAATAGAGGATGAGATGGTTGGATGGCATCACTGATTCAATGGACATAAGTTTGAGTAAACTCCGGGAGTTGGTGATGGACAGGGAGGCCTGGCGTGCTGCAGTCCATGGGGTCACAGAGAGTCAGACATGACTGAGCGACTGCGCTGAGCTGCACTGATAGAAAGCTCCTTACCCATCACCCTCAACTCTCCTCAGTGCCCCAGGTGGAGAACTGTGTCACTCAAAGTGCAAAAACAGATAATTTGGAGCAAACTGTGATTCACTGAGGGATTTTTTTTTCTTTTTCTTTTTTCTTTTTTATTACCTGGAGGCTAATTACATTACAATATTATAGTGGTTTTTGCCATACATTGACATGAATCAGCCATGGATTTACATGTATTCCCCATCCCGATCCCCCCTCCCACCTCCCTCTCCACCCGATCCCTCTGGGTCTTCCCAGTGCACCAGGCCCGAGCACTTGTCTCATGCATCCAACCTGGGCTGGTGATCTGTTTCACCCGAGATAATATACATGTGTTGATGCTGTTCTCTTGAAACATCCCACCCTCGCCTTCTCCCACAGAGTCCACAAGTCTGTTCTATACATCTGTGTCTCTTTTTCTGTTTTGCATATAGGGTTATCGTTACCATCTTTTTAAATTCCATATATATGTGTTAGTATACTGTAATGGTCTTTATCTTTCTGGCTTACTTCACTCTGTATAATGGGCTCCAGTTTCATCCATCTCATTAGAACTGATTCAAATGAATTCTTTTTAATGGCCGAATAATATTCCACGGAGTATATGTACCACAGCTTCCTTATCCATTCGTCTGCTGATGGGCATCTAGGTTGCTTCCATGTCCTGGCTATGATAAACAGTGCTGCGATGAACATTGGGGTGCACGTGTCTCTTTCAGATCTGGTTTCCTCGGTGTGTATGCCCAGAAGTGGGATTGCTGGGTCATATGGCAGTTGTTATTTCCAGTTTTTTAAGAAATCTCCACACTGTTTTCCATAGTGGCTGTACTGGGATTAATTGTGGTTAAAGGATTTTCCCTCCTCAAACCCCATCCCAAGCCGAATCTCTGAGCTAGATGGAGGCTTTTGTAGCAGCGGAGGTTAAAGAGCCACTGAAATTTATTTCATCCCTGAATTTACAGCTTTGTTAAGCAAAACTATATAAAAACCATAAAACGAAAGAGAATAAAAATAAAAAGGGAAAAACCAATAACAAACAAGCAATTCCAGCCAACTCTTTTCCCCTGCTCAAGATGAAATGAAGAAAGTAAGCATGGCACATAATAACTATTTGTTGTTTTTTTTTCCAGCTTTAATAGTCTATTAATGAGAACAGATAATGAACATGATATCCAGTTTTTTTTTTTGCCTGGTAGTTGTTTTTGTTTTCTGTTTTTGCATTGAGTTCTTTTCATTCACCTCTTCTGAACCTGAGGTCTCTCTGATAAAGCAATGTTTTAAATCCTGAAAGAGTGATTGTAATTTTTAAAATAGTACCTAAGGTACTAGGAATGCAGAGTAAGTGCCAAGCCATAGTCATTTAAATGTGCTGTTTTATTTATGCCATTGCTCATGTTCTGCATTTGAATAGAACCTCTTGTTTTCATAGGACACCTCCAGTCCCCTGGTCAGGTGGTCCCAGCCTGAGGCTCAAGTACAGCCATTACCAGCTCTCCAGCTAGAATGGTTGCAACCTCTATATACTCTTCTGATTGTCTATAAATAGCATCACTTGTGAGGATTGTTGAAATAATTTGTTGCTATAATTATAGTGACATTTCTAGCATGCTATAATCATATAAAACTGCAAATATAGAAGGATGCTATTTTGGAGTTCTTTTTCCCCTCCTCAGTTTGTGTTTTATGGAATGGAAGAAAAGATGAGGGATGTCATGTCGCTTGTTTAGAGAACGGAACCAGCTGCATTACAATAGGACAGAATAATGATACAGGAAAATCAAGAGTACTTCCTTAAGAAGAAAGGCAGCTAGCGACTTTGAAATTGACTTGGTTTTAGTTAACAAGGAAAAGAAAAGAAAAGAAACCTGCCCCCCAAGTACAATTTCATACATACAAGAGAAGTGAAGACATGTGATGGTATTTTTCCAGCTGAGGGCCTTAGCCAAGCCAAAGTCATTTTAATTTTTCATAAGCTTTTACATTTTTGATGACAGCATCCTAGTGAAGGAGTTACAAATGTCTGAGAAATATTTAGGATGGTTGTACTGTAGAATCTTTGAAAAAGACAGTATATTTTGAGTTGACAAAATATCTCCATTGTGTTCAAACGTTCAGCAAGTATCAATTAAGCAAAATAAAGATCTTTCGAGAAAATGTGATTACACAGTTTGATTGTGCCGCAGTTACAGGGACTTTTAAAGCACTTCTCAAAATTCAAAAATGGCATATGGTATCTATATAAGCAATGGTGATTGACAAAATTGCAAAGTGTCAAAATTTATTGTATTTATTTCTTTAGTTTTATTGAAGAATAATTGACAAGTAGTGTTGTAAGACATTTGAAGTGTAAAATTAATGGTTGGATATGCATATACATTGTAAAAGAATTCTAACAATTGAATTAATTAACTCATCCATCACTGCATGTATTTACCTCTTTATTTTTGGTGAGGACCCTTAAGTTCTACTCTCTTGGAAAATTTCATTTATAAAATACCATATCATCAACCACAGTCACCATGTTTTATGTGAGACGCCCAGATCTTATTTATCTTATAATCAAAGGTTTGTACAATTTAACCAACCTCTCCCCATTTTCCTGCTCCCGGGAGAGAAACAGTGTGTTAAAGTTTTCAGTGTGCATATCTTTCATCTCCCTGGTTAAATTTATTCTTAATTTTTATTCTTTTGATGCTATTGTAAATGAGATTGTTTTATTTCTGTTTGGGACCTGCACTGAACCCAGGGGTGGCATAGCTTTGATAAGTGTTTTCATAGCTGTTTGAAAACTGCTTTTTTTGTTGTTGTTTAATACCATTCTGTAAAGGCCATCCCCTATTGATTATCATCACTAAGTGATTTGAGGACCCATTCCTTAGGTGGAGGCCACAAAAGACGGAGTGCTAAATATAAGGACAAGCTCTTTCCTGGGAGAAGCTAAAGAGTTGCTTTTATTATTGGAGTGAGCTGCAGAGGGAAGGTGTGTGCGTGCTAAGTCACTTCAGTTGTGTCCAACTCTTTGCATCCCTCTGCACTGTAGCCCACCGGGCCCCTTGGTCCACAGGATTTTCCAGGCAAGAATACTGGAGTGGGTTGCCAGGCCCTCCTCCAGGGGATCTTCCTGACCCAGGGATCAAACCTGTGTCTCTTACATCTCCTGCATTGGTAGGCGGGTTCTTTACCACTAGCGTCATCTGCGAGTCCACAAGGAGAAGCTAGGGCAGGTCTTTTTGGGCTGATGGGAGGATCCCAGTGAGCACCTCCACGCAGGCTGAGTAGCAGCTGGACTCTCAGGCAGCAGCTGGAAAAGTTTGGAGTAAAATCTCTTCCAGGGAGAAAATGAGATGGGCATTTTTGCCTGCTCCCTCGGTGCTATGAATAGTCCTGTGGGACTTGTTGAATTCAAGCCCTGTAGGCTCTCAAAGTAGCTGATTTGGGGGACCCCCCGCCTTGGTTGGACGCTTTACAGCTGGAGTGCTCTACGTGTCGTCCAAGCCCTCTTGCTCCTGCGGGAGAAGCTGGAATTTGGGGGTTTCCTTGGCTTGTATGTCACTGAGACTGGGGTGTAGTTCATGGCGAGGGCATGTCTCAGCCTCTCCTCCTCGTTTTGATGCGGATGGTTTCTGTATCATCCAGGGTGTAGGCGTCACTCAACTTCTGGATCTCTTCCAGCAGGAGCAATCCATGTGCAGCTGTATATTCAGTGGCTGCGTGCCGGGAGCAAAAGGGCAGGAGCCCCCTGTGTCACCATCTTGGTGATGTCACTCCTGCCAAAGTGTATTCTAGATGCAACTCCTCTTCTGAGTTCCAATGCTGAGACCTGCTCTTTTGACCTGGCTGGTGACCCACACAGCAAAATAAATGGGGGCTGGCACTGTCTAGCTCTCTTAGCACTGATCAGGGTTTTAATGTTATTTATCTGTGTGATCTTTCCTCCCCAGGTCTGTACTCTCCAGGAAGCTAGAGATCCTGTCTGGTTTGTACACAGTCTTATCAACAGTCCCAGGTCAAGAAGAGCCAGACATGTAGTAAGTTGACTTGAGTTGAATAAATGAACGATGGAATCAGATTAGTGCTGACTTGCAATTGATAAGTTGTAAATTTGGGCAAGTGTTCGTATCTTGGAGGGGTTCCCTTGTGGCTCAGCTGGTAAAGAATCTGCCTGCAATGTGGGAGACCTGGGTTCAATCCCTGGGTTGGGAAGATCCCTCGAGAAGGAAAAGGCTACCCACTCCAGTATTCTCACCTAGAGAATTCCATGGACTGTACAGTCCATGGGGTCACAATGAGTTGGACACAACTGAGTGACTTTCAGTTTCTTTCACTTTCATATCTTGGAGCCTCTGATTCTTTATTTATAAAGTGACTGGTTTGGCCAGGAAGTTCTCCAAGGTCCCTAGCCTTAAATTCCATAAATGAATCCATGGTAGATGCCACAGGGCCCTACCACCACTTCTTTCTCTGGGAAACTTGTGCTCAGCCGCTTGGTACTTCTCACTCTGCTATTTCCCTTCCCCGGATGTAGCCATCAGTCCAGGGATGGATCCAGGGTCTAGTTCTGGTGACTTGATTCTCTTCTCTAGCTATTCGGCTTTAGACTGGGCACCCGCCAGCCAGAGTCTGCTTTTGGCTGTGCTGTGACCTGTGGATTTGGGAACTTTTGGGTGGCTGCTCCTACCCAGCCCGGATGGTTAGGCAGGGGAGTCAGAATGTGGAGAGAAGAGAGAAGCAGTCTGTAGAGCCGGGCAAGCTTGCCAAGTGAAGAGTTCTGGAAATTTCCAGTTTCTCATTGGAGCCTGCAGCTTTCCTGACCGCAGGTGCCACAGGGTGGCTGGTTTACTGATAGTAAATTTTCCCTTTTTAGGGTGAAAAGCAGCTCTAATTAGCTTTGTTATCCAGCTAAATATACACATACATTCTTCTCAATAATGAAAGTTCATTTAATTGGATATTCAGGTGAAGTTGGCTAGATTTGTCAAATCATTCAGAGAAGCCCATGCTGAGCATCTGCCGTTAGCAGCATTTATCAGGACCTGTGAAGCCCTGACTATCTCTGGGATAATCTTTTATGTGACCCCATACACCTGGGAGAGGAAGAGCTTTTGACCTGGTGGGAGTGAATAATCTATCCTCAGCACCACTTCTTTTTTTTTTTTAAGGGTTTTTTTTTTTTTTTATGTGGACCATATTAAAAGTTTTTTTTTTTTTAATTTGTTACAATATTGTTTCTGTTTTATGTTTTGGTTTCTTTTTGGCCATGAGGCATATGGGATCTTAGCTCCCTGATCAGGGGTTGAACCCGAACCCGCCTAATTGGAGCCTTAACCGTCAGACCGCCAGGGAAGTCTCTCAGGACCACTTCTGAACAGGTTGGTCTCCCTGGCTGCTGTTGACCTCGGTGCTGATGCCTGCACACCTGGGAGAAGCAGGGAGATGGGCATTCTGTCTGTCTGCGTTACAGAAGGACCGTGATCCTCAGCACTTCCTGCCGACGGTTGCGCATGTCCCAGACCCTGGACTGGAGTCTCCTCCCTGATCATATCAGTGCAAGCCCCCTGCCTGCCCGTGGACTCCTCTGAGCTGCCCTATCTTGTTGTCACATCCTGACCCCATATTTCCCTTCCTGGTCTCACTGAGAAAGGAGAAATTGGGTTATGAGCTATCTAATTCCATTAGCCTCATTATTCCTCGGAAATCTGAGTCCTGGCGAGTTAGTGCTATGTAATGGAGGAAGTCAGTAGACGTGGGTCCCACTGGTGACCTTCATCCTGGGCAAATCTCAGTCCCTCCTTATTCGTAAGATTAGAGCCAACTGGGTGATTTCTGGAAAGCTCTCCTGTCTCCCCGAGTACTGGGATCTCTTATCAGGTTCCTCCCATTCCTTCCCGAAGCATCCTCCCAGACCTAAAGGACTGGGGTCTTGTTCACAGTGGCCTTTGTCCCTATGGGTTGGTTGGTCAGTTCTTTGTAGATATTTTAACATTTCAATAAAATAAGCTTTTTAAAGAAAGGGGTTTCCAACAGACAGAGGGACGATGGGGTGTGGGCAGCACATCTCTTTGACCTGGAAAGTCTGGAGCGTGCAGGTCACTCTCTATATGCTGTTAGTGTTTGCCCACATTTTTTCCCTTTCTACTTCCTTGACTGGAAACATTACCAGCCCTGCTTGTTTTTCACCCTAACTTGTTGTTAAGTGTTCCATGATTCTTCTAGATTGGGATGTCTTTGACAGACAAACAGAGAAAGCTTGAAGCTTTCTCCTTTTGCTTGCTCCCATTCCAGTCTTACAAGGGATTAGAGCTCTTGACATGTTTTTATTTATTTATTTTGCTTTTTGGTTGCACTGGGGCTTTGTTGCTGTGAGAGGGCTTTCTCTAGCTGTGGAGACCGGGAGCTGCCCTCTGCTGCGATGCCCGGGCGTCTCACTCTGTGGCTTTCCTTCTTGTGGAGCGCGCTGCACACGGGCTTCAGTAACTGCTTTCCTGGCTCTAGTGCGTGGGCTCAGTAGTTTGGGTGCGTGGGCACGGGGGCTTAGTTGCTCCTCCATGGGTGGGCTCTTCCCGGACCAGGGATTGAACCTGTGTCCCTTGCATTGGCAGGCAGATTGTCATCCACTGGACCCCCAGGGAAGTCCTTGAAGTGTTTTTAATAATTATGTTTTTCTTTTAGCTGCCATCATGGTCTGCCATCTTGTTCTGTGAATGACATCCCTTGAGCAGTAAATGAAGTCTCTGGAGAGGCTGGCGTGGGGACTCCAAGGTCAACATTTGACACTGGAAGTTTGCCTCAAAATCTAGGGTTCCATCTTCATGACAATAAATTTAGGCACTTACCCAAAGCTTTCTCTCCATAGGACAGACCCATCAGTCAGATAAATAACTCAGCCTACAAAGCCTGGCTGCCCTGCAGCGCTGGGCAACCAGAGGAAGGGAAATATCCACTAAACTGTCTGACATTTTGAAATTCTTTCATGACTAGCATGATATTGGGACCAATTGTGCATGACAATGGTGCTTAAAACACTTAACCAAAATGTGTATAGATTCACCAGGGCTTTATCAGGCCTCTATCTGCCGACCTAGATCTTCTACGAGTTTCTCCACTTCTTTTCCCTCCGAGCTAAGATCAGAACAAAGGAGAGACTGAAAATAAAGAAACTCACCAAGAAGGAAAGAGGAGATTTTCTTGTGGCTGTTAAGTTTGCACAAACAAAATTAAAGATAACATAGGTTCATGTGATGTCGTGGATAACGACAACAATCTAGTAACAGCCAGGAAAAGGCCCCTTTATTGCTTTCTTGCAAACAAGCCAAAACCAGTAGTTCATCAAGTTTCCAGTGCGTTCATAATGTAGCATTTTATGATCTCCTGAGGAGAAGTTTGATGAAATACAAGTCTTGTGCTTTGGATAAAAATGCCAATTTCTTGCAAAATCGTTAAATTTATTTGTCACACTTTCTTTCTGAATTCCAAACTAATTTCTTTGAGGCTAAGATCTTGACTAATCTGTTTGTTTCTTCTGGGACATAAAGGCCATGAAATTTACACTTAAAATGACCATTGTTTTGCACTGGGTGTTCTTGGCCTGATTTTTCCTACATAATCTTCTCTTGGCTTTGGGGGGCTGATTCATTTAGTCTTGGCACTTACTGAATTTTCTTGTCCTTTGCCTCAAGTTGGCAGGAAGGGAAGAGAAGTCTTTGTGCTGTTGAATACCAAAGCAGACCTCTATTACAGCGATGGCAGGATGCTTTCTGGAATGACATTGGAGACAGCTGCAAGAACATCCTGAAGATTTTCTGATAGGATGGAGAGAACATCCCATGGTGTCATTGGTGATCAGGCAGGTGGGCAGGGCAGCTACTTTCATCTATTTATTTGTTTAATCTTGGCTGCCCTTGATCTTCATTGCTTTTCTCTAGTTGTGGCAAGTGGGGACTATTCATTGTGCTGCACAAGCTTCTCTTTGCAGTGGCTTATCTTACTGTGGATGGAACACCGGCTCTAGGTGCTTGGGCTTCAGTCATTGCAGCACTCAGACTCAGTAGTTGTGGCACATGGGCTTAGTTGCTGTAGAATCTTCCCAGACCGGAGGTGGAATCCGTATCCCCTGCATTGGCAGGCAGATTCTTATCCCCTGCCCCACCAGGGAAGTCCAGGGCAGCTACTTTTGAAGGAGTAGAAATTGCATTTGTCATGTTTGGCTTAGTTTTGGAAGACAACCTAAGTGAAAAGGAAAGCCTGATCTGATTAAGACCCAGGCAGCCTCTGACGGAAGAATCAGTATCAAGAAGATTGTTTTTTTGAATTACGTCCAGCGTCGGGCTACAGTAAGACAGTGGAGGACATCCACAAGGCCAGATAATTGAGACAAAATCATCATGGTGAGATGATCCTTACAAATGCCCATCCAAGGACCATCAAACCTTCCACTGCTATTGTTTACAACTGAGAGTTGATGGTCCACTTGACGAGATTCTTTCCAGAGTCACAGGTATAGTTACTACCCTGCAGACCAACAGTTCAGGAGAGGATGCTGAACTGGGGTGAATCTGCAGGGTAGACTTCAATAGAATATTCCAGGCTTTCTTCTGGGAAGGAAGTGACAGGGATTCCTGGAGCAGCAGGTGGGGATAGATGGCAGGGAGAGGAAGGCTTGAGTAAGAGAGGTTAAAGAAAATCAGGAGTTTGGCCCCTGCAGGCTATG